TGTGACTTTGTGAAACAGGAACCTAAAAGTCCGTAATAACAGAAATACCTTAAACTGTGACTTTGTGAAACAGGAACCTAAAAGTCCGTAATAACAGAAATACCTTAAACTGTGACTTTGTGAAACAGGAACCTAAAAGTCCGTAATAACAGAAATACCTTAAACTGTGACTTGGTGAAACAGGAACCTAAAAGTCTGTAATAACAGAAATACCTTAAACTGTGACTTGGTGAAACAGGAACCTAAAAGTCCGTAATAACAAAAATACCTTAAACTGTGACTTGGTGATACAGGAACCTAAAAGTCGTAATAATGCCTATTGAAGTTAGATTCCACGAGCATTTGCACCTAATTTTTGTCTACTTTTCATATTTATGACTATGTGTTTAGGGGAGTTTTAAGCAAACCGTGACCTGAAAATGGTCACGAACTGGACAAAGCAACTCACCCATAAATAGCGTCTTTGTCCCGTTTGTGGACGTCGGGTACGGAACTCATGACATGATTAGACATGACCCCGGAGACGTGGTTGCCAGGGTGGTACTGGTGCATGGAGGGGCCGTGGTTCATATGTGGGCTGTGGGTGAGGGTGGACATCGACCGGTGAGCGTGCGGGTCGTACAGCGACGTCGGGCCGTCCATGGAACCGTAATGTGGTATGCCTTCATCGTACTGCATTTGGGACAGAAGAGTAAACCGGAGGTTTTACACGTCACTCGCTGGGAACTTCGTAAATCACAAAACGTCGTAAAAGATGACAATAACAGCCCGCTTCAACCTTGAAACCTCGTATACCCTCTGCTCCATCAACCTATTCTGTGTGGTACAACCTTCAAGTTGTTGACGATGCTCGAGAAAGTGTCGATATCCCCTTTTCTGGCCGAATCTCTTGGAAAATCCCAACACAAATTCTTTGTAGTTTCCAGGTTCTACGCCAGGACGCACAAATTAAAGTGACCACGATGTCTTCACGAACCTCTTCTTCTTCTCTGCTATTATAGAAGCGGCTCGATACACAGTTCTATTGCTATTGACTCTGGAGGTTCGCGCAATCGCAACTGTCAATCAAAAGGCTGTTACTATAACACAGATAATAAATGAGCTGTCAGTCGTAGCAGCCGCGCGAGTTGCCCGGCCCCAAGTTCCTCTAACTTGAGCGGTGTGCGTGGCTAGTGCTGGCCGCGTGCAGTTGGCGCGTACAGAATCATCTGGAGGGTTGTCTACTTTGCCTTAGTCGCTCCCCCTTACTGTAAGCTGCAACCAGAGTGTGAAAACTGATGCGTCGCTCAAACAGTCCTAGCAAAAATCGGTAAAATCAACGAGCGAACCGCGCGCGCTAACTTTCGTCTTCCGTGATCTCACGAGCGCTGGCCGGACAATACCACTTTACTTCGGGGAGGGTTCTGTAGGTGGCGTGCTTGTGTTGGGCTTTTTCGTGACACATGGATAAGCTTGTAGCTCATTGGTCAAATGGTCAGAATGACGTCTTGACCATTCTAGCACTGGAATGGTAACCATATTTAAGTGTGACCGTTGCAGGATGACCTTGTTATTTTAGGGCAGTGTTTGAGTACATATTTATACAATGATATTTTGTGAATCAGTTAATCATTCGGCTTCGCTAAAAACAAAAGGAACTGGTTCTCCAGTTTAGATGTGGTTTTTACAGCTGGTTCCGGTTCCACTTGGTTTCCTCCTGAATACCCGATCTAGATACACGAGTTTTTTAAACCACTGAACACTGCAGTATGTAAGTGTTAGCACTGTGATAACACCTACACACTGCAGTGTTAGCACGGTGATATGAATCTATTCAAGTGGAATGTCTGATTTCCGTATCTCGGTGATTCCGGATTACTGAAACTTTATAGTCTGAAGAGATTATCCCAATCCTGATTTCTAATGTTCTGATGTGGATTAAAGGGCAATGTGTTAGAGGGATTATACCAACTAAAATATTCATTACATATATATATATATATATATTGTGTGTCAGATAGGAGATTAACACACTAAAATTTACGCTCCAGATTCAGGAGATATTAACCCTTTCTCATATTAGCAGTACCTATATATCAACTGGTACTGGTGGATCTCATACGCATAAGAAATGTGTTCGTGAGAACTGCTAGTTGATATAAAGGAAATGTATATATGAGAATTGTTCTTCGATATACACATAATGTGAACATAAGAACTGCTAGTTAATATACAGGTTACGTGTACTTGAGGACTGCTAGTTAATATACAGGTTGTGTGTGCTTGAGGACTGCTAGTTAATATACAGGTTACGTGTACTTGAGGACTGCTAGTTAATATACAGGTTACGTGTACTTGAGGACTGCTAGTTAATATACAGGTTACGTGTACTTGAGGACTGCTAGTTAATATACAGGTTGTGTGTGCTTGAGGACTGCTAGTTATTATACAGGTTACGTGTACTTGAGGACTGCTAGTTAATATACAGGAAATGTATGTATGAGATCCCCCAGTACCAGTTGATATATAGGTACTGCTAACACGAGAAATGTGTTCGTGGTAACTGTCAGATAATATTATCTGACAGTTACCACGAACACATTTCTCGTGTATTATCTGACAGTTACCACGAACACATTTCTCGTGTATTATCTGACAGTTACCACGAACACATTTCTCGTGTATTATCTGACAGTTACCACGAACACATTTCTCGTGTATTATCTGACAGTTACCACGAACACATTTCTCGTGTATTATCTGACAGTTACCACGAACACATTTCTGTGTATTATCTGACAGTTACCACGAACATATTTCGTGTATATTGTCTTGACAGTTGCCATGAACATTAATTGACAGTTCTCATGTGCACATTACTTGCACATAAACTGGACATTCTCATATAACCTGTATATCACCTGGCAGTTAGTTCTCATATACACCTTTACAGTCTAGTAAGCCTCGCATATATATATATATATGTTCATGTACCTGTGTTCACCTGTGTTCATGTACCTGTGTTCACACACATATCAACCTGAATATAAAGAAATACTCAATTCGATTCTCTGTCACAACATAAATAACATTCTATAGGTTTAGGTGAAATATTATTTCTGTAGGGGTGGTCCACGTGTATCTAGACATTACCCTAGTAATGTGTGCTACTAGCACGTGTTGAATGAGCTATAATCTCAGGCCACCGAATAATGAATGCTGTAAACTACTGAATGAATTATGGTCCAACTATCTCTTTTCGGTGTCATTACTTTACACCCCTGAATAGTTACTATCCGAAGTTCATAAAACAAGACACTCGACAATGGCGAGTCTTTCAAAAGAGACGATAAAAAGACACACATATTGTTCGACGACGACATCCACACTTAACCATCTTTGCTCTCTCCCTCCCCCCTCCCCCATCTGATGCTATAAATCCCAGTCGCCAACAATGAAGTGCGTTTATGGCTAGCGTCACCGAATGAGTGGTTTTCTATTCGTTATCAAGTTTTACAATTACTGCTTCAATTTTGTTGAGCGCCACTGACTGTTAAACATTTCCGAGGGGAAGACAACAACAGCTACGAACCATTAGAACATTTGTTGACCTTACAAGATTAATAACAACAACAAAAAAGCTTTTATGTAACTTATAAGCCAGTGGTGTCTAAGAGTTTAGCGTGTCCGGACGGTGAATCCAGGGGTTCATGGTTCGCGTCCTATTATCGTAAAAAGTCACTCCGCATTGTGGGCCCATGGGTTCGCTATAATAGTGACGGTTAAATCTCACTAGTCGGTCAGACAGAATAGCCCAATCGTTGGCGGTGGGTGCTGTCATTTCAAAATTAGGGACAGCTATCCAGAGATAGCTCTTGTTGTAGCAGTGCGTGAAAATACTGAAACAAACAAAGTAATTTAACTTTTAAACACGTTTATTAATAAATAAATATTAAAAAAATATCACAATTAAATTTTTTCGAGAGGAAAAACAATATGATTTATAAATTTCTATCTTGGTTATGATTGGTTATCATCAGAAAACGTCGCCAAGGTTTAAGAAGCTTATTCCAAATTGTATAAATACTTTTCATTTTACAGCTAAAGACAGTGTAAGTACGATTCGGTCTTCGACATTTTACCATCCTGAGTTTCCACCTGTTCCCACAACGTTGGTGAAATCAATAGATGGCGAAACCAGAGGTCACAAGGACCCTGCCAGGTTTACGCCTTTTGGGGGAAGGTTAATAATTTTAAGGGTGCCTGTCATGTACTACATGTGCACGATTTAGGAATTCCTCCATTTGAAGTCTACAAATGCCCCATTTTCTAAGGGTAATATCCCCTGATCCCCATAGAACTTATGATCCTCAGGTTTCACATACAGTTTACTGTTCTCCCTCCTCACATGTGTCTTTGTTTCCTCCGCCTGTGAGATCTGGAGGAGGAATACAGGGGTCTCGTAACGAAACGAATGAATAACGATTTCCTGAGGTCAAGATCTTAGGTTTGCATTGTAGCTTCAAATGGAAGCTTGTGTCTTTGTTTCTCCGAGTTGATCACGAAAACGAGAAATATTGGTCGCCCTTAAATTGAGATCATAACTGGTTATTTAATTGCATTTTAGCATACAGACCACCAAAATACACCAGTTTATTCAACAAGATATTTTGTCGCATCAAAACAGCCGCCGCTTCAGCTCTTCTTGCACATCCTATACGACTTGATTACCTAACTTCTTTACGGTTTTTGTCCGTATGTTTTAATGAAAGACTGTCAGAATGGAGTAGTCCTCGATCGTGCTCTTACTGTATACCCTCAGACACTATAGCCCCGACTAAGGCGTGCTTTCTGCGTCCATCCGCCATAAGATAGAACAGCCCTCCTATCAGAAAGTGTCTGCAGATTGGCTCGATTGTCGAAAAAGGCGGAGCAAACAAAATAACCAATGGTTCGTGCAAGAAACGCGAGCAAGGCAGGCACGTTCGAGTCTCGAGGCTTTTAATACACGACATAGTGTTGATATCTTTGTGGTGTTAGAATTTCGTGACTTTTTCGTTCTCATCGAAAATAGTTTAGATAAGTAGTTTTTAGTCCTGGCTTTCACCGTATATACATGAAGTAAATGTATTACACGCGCACTAGAGAGACCTTTTTTTTAGTTATATTTATTTAACCGTGATCTCAATTTTACTTTCAAATATGTTTTATTGAGCTTAAAATTACCGCAATTACCCACCAACTCTATAAATACGTTATTGTATGTGTTACATTTCTTCTGAATCAATGAATGATTTCAATAATTACACAATCATTTACAATATATACGTCACACTCACAAATTAAACAAAAAATACCATCAATATTGATATTAATCCCACTTATTATTACTAATTGCATACAATATTTGTGGTCAGTTATTTATCACACTTAGCAGTGGAAAAACATAAATTTACTTAATGTGATGCAATGGGGTGACTTATTGGTAGTGGACAGTGTATGCAATGGGGTGACTTATTGGTAGTGGACAGTGTGTGGAATGGGGTGACTTATTGGTAGTGGACAGTGTATGCAATAGGGGTGACTTATTGGTAGTGGACAGTGTATGCAATAGGGTGACTTATTGGTAGTGGACAGTGTATGGAATGGAGTGACTTATTGGTAGTGGACAGTGTGTGGAATGGGGTGACTTATTGGTAGTGGACAGTGTGTGGAATGGGGTGACTTATTGTAGTGGACACTGTATGGAATGGGGTGACTTATTGTAGTGGACAGTATATGGAATGGGGAGACTTATTGTAGTGGACAGTATATGGAATGGGGTGACTTATTGGTAGTGGACTACAGTGTCCACTACCAATAAGTCACCCCATTCCATACAGTGTCCACTACCAATAAGTCACCCCATTCCATACAGTGTCCACTACAATAAGTCACCCCATTCCAAGTATATGGAATGGGGTGACTTATTGTAGTGGACAGTGTATGGAATAGGGTGACTTATTGGTACTGGACAGTGTGAAAAACAAGCCGTTGACAACACGTTACGCCATCTAAAGGTTGAAGTGACTCAAAATTATCAATAAATTTGTTTGTTTATTTGAAGCTAACCACAACGCTACACAATGGGCTATCTGTGCTCTGCCCACCACGGGTATCGAAACCAGGTTTATAGCGTTGTAAGTTCATAGACATGCCGCTGTGCCACTTGAGAGGGGGGCATCAATAAATATAAGTAAATAAATTTTATTAACTTATGGTCTAATCCGTACTAGGACGTTGATAGGAAACGTGGAAAGCGGTTTGTTTGTTGAATTTGGTACAAAACTACTCTCTAGCCATCCCTCATTTTAAACTGATGGC